AGACCTTTTGAAGTAAGCTTGTTATTTTTTCTTGTAATTTAGATATCATGATCAAACTGCATGTAGCGGGGCAGCATGCAGGTGGAATTTTACCTGCTTCTAATATGAACAATCCAGAGTTTACTTCTTGTTTCTTTTGTGAAGGTGACTTTGGTCCACTTCTTACATTTCTCATTTCACTACTGAGATTGACAATGTTTTTTACTTTCACTGCCTAGAGCTGGAGAGTTCCTCAAATATTGCTTTTATCACATGTGCTTCCACCCACATTTTTCTTGTTAGAGCACTTCAAGGGCAGTTTTCCAGGCTGGAGACTCAGTTGTCATTCAGGTGCAGAGGACACTTAATCAAGCTTCTGAGTGGGGTTCAGTGTGTGCCCAACATGCAACCATTGCACAGGCACTGCTGCTTTGTCCCTGTGTGGAAGGTGGGGAAATATTTACCCTGTGGCCAAGAGAGGAGATCTTTGTGGGAAGAAGTCTGTATTATTTGTAGCTCAAGAACATGCACTAGCTTAAAACCAGGGTTGTTACCCTGCAACCCTCTAATTTAATGCAATTGCAGAGGTTGGGGACCTCTTAAAATAATAGTGCAAACAAAAGCTGGGTTTTGCTAATGCCAGCTACAGGCAAGGTCATTTTCTGAGGATGGCATTACTGGAAAAATTAAGCGAGAGTGCCGTTGGACTTGGCAAAGCTCAAGGGACAGGTTTGTGGGAATACTTGTCCATTGACTGCAACAGCAGAGCTGCCCTAGATCCATTTCCTGATGCTGCAGGGGAGAAAGGCTCTTTTTCTCACTACTTCTTGCTGAGGTTTTCAGGCAGCAATTGATGCAAAGGCTGATCTCAGCTTAATTTGCAACAGAAAACAGACCAAAAAACCTACAGGCAGAGATTGTCCTCTATTAAATGTTAAATGAAAATGAGGGTTTGGAAGAACATAGGCTGGTGTATGTCTTAGACAAAAGTTTCTTATGCTTTTGCTCACAAAATACAGAGCAGTATTCTTCCCTTCCCTCTCCAACACCTAAAAAAAAGGAAAAAGGCAACCACCCCTGTCCCCCAAAGTGTGAAGAAAAGGATACACTGAAGCACGGTTGTATAGTGAGGGGAGTCCCTGGACCAAACTACTGGGCTCTGCCATCTCCTACACCCCTGTTTTGGGAGATCAAGCAGTTTAGTGATGTGTGTGCTAGCCACACTGTGTTATTATCCAGCTGGGAATTCTTTTATCATTATAGATTTAATCACAAAGTCTGGCCTTGTACCCAAAGCACCAGCACATCCATCAAGATGGATTTTGCTCTCTATGGCTTTTTATTTTATTTTCTTGAAATAAAGACTGTATATTTGGTTTCATATTAGAAATCAGCTTTGAGAGAAGATGGATGTTTTTAGCAGATCTTGGTATTTTATGATATTTACAAGGTGTAGAAAAAAAAAGTGACAATATCTTTTCCCAAGTAGCCCAAATAGTTAAGCAAGAGTTCTTTGTAGTTCCCTTGGAAAAAAAAATGTTTTTTTGTGAAGTAATTATGGATTTTCATGAGCAGTCCTTGCTAATCAGGTTTAATGACACTAAAACCAAATCACTTTATAGTTATTTTCCAAGACTGTGTTGGAGACATGCTGCATTAACCCAAAGAACAAAGCATAGAGATGACAACAAGAGTAAAAAGAGAAAAGGAAACAGTAGAGAAGCAGAATCACTTGTAGCTCTATGTCCTGCACAATGAGAATAGCACAGCACTAAAGGAGCAGCAGTGGCAAAATTAATGATAGGTTACATTGTCCTTGAATCTTCTGGGAATCTACGGCACCCTGGAAAAATATTTGCTCTTAATTTTATCATCTTTATTGCAAAGTCTAGTGGATTTAGCTAACAGAAAACCTTGTAATGTTGGGTTGCATTATTTTAGTATAATGCGTTACTGTTTTTTTCTTGTTAAGCTTAACCTTCAGTTATAAATCAGTAATAATGAAGTCAGTTTCAAAAAAAAAGGGTTGTTCTGACCCCCCCAAAAACTCTCAAAACTCTGGAGGTAATAAAATTTTCATATTTTTTCTCCTGGCTGGATAATAATTTTGCAAAGCCTGTCCATACAGGCTGTGCTTTAGAGTGTTGGTAGGAATTTCACTGAGCTGAGCAAGGGGTATGATCATGTTGGAAGTATCTTAACATTCATACATGGAGCAGACTTTTGCATATACGAATCTTCTTAGTCCTGGGAAGAAAACAAGACAACACACTGACATGTTTATATCAATTTTGCTATTTTGTTGTGTGCACTTATTACTTAAAAAATCCATCCTTGTCATTCCTAATATGTACTGTGGGGCATAACATAAGTTACCTTGTGAATTTCCCTCTGCTATAATTTTGCTTTCTAAGCTCCATAAAACACCATGAGCACTTTGCCTGTAATTAGTATGTGAGTTATTTGTGGTAGTGTAAAGCATTAACTGACTTGTAACTGTTGTCTCTTGGCACTATGCAAGTGGGTTGTGGTCTAGGATATTCTCTCACAAATGGGGTTGTGGTCTAGGATATCATCAATCTTTTCTTTGTGGTTCAGAAAAGGAATCCATTTTCTTTGATAAAAGACCCATTGGTCTTTGTGATCTATAAATCATTCTTTTCAAAGAAACCCTTTGAAATACCAATGCAAGGCAGTCTCACAGACTATCACTTTATAGATTTTTCTTAGGATGGGAGATAATCCTTGTGCCTATCAAAAAAGAAGGTCTGTACTATTTTTCACTGAATTTTGCAACTTTAGAAGAAGCTCTCTAAAGGCCTAATATTGCCATCTCTAATCTTGTGCCCTGCATGAAGTTAGAGCTTTTTTGTGAAGACAGCATTTCTGTAATGCCCAAGTATGGGATGACTGAATTATAACCAGGATCATATAAGACAGCATTTTTACAGCATTGAAAATCCTTAGCCTCCTAATGAGGAACATTAGTGTCTTGTGTGTGTGCTTTTTTTTGGTGTTGTGTGTGTGTGGTTTTTTGTCTTTTTTTTTTTGGTTTTATTTTCCATCCCTATAAAACTCCTTTAGAGACCCTTCTGAATTAGCCTTTTTATCAGAGGCATCCCATGCAACTAATTTTGAACATATCTTACATTCTGTGAGAAAATACTTGGTATTATCTGAACTAGTTCTGGTTTTACCTGCCTGTCTAAAGACCATAAACCAGTTTTTGATAACTGCATGGTCTTTGTAGAAACAGCTGTAGAGGAAGTGGCCAGATGTGTCAATGTCATTATGCACCACACTCCTGCAGATAGAGCGTGTGGTGTGCTGGGTCTCCTGCTTTTGTTCTTTGTTTTTATTCTAAATGCATTCATATTTCACATTAGTGTCTTGTGTGTGCTTTTTTTTTGGTTGTGTGGGGGTGTGTGTCTGTGTTTTTTTGTCTTTTTTTTGTGGTTTTATTTTCCATCCCTATAAAACTCCTTTAGAGACCCTTCTGAATTAGCCCTTGTCTTGGTTTGAAAAGACAGGAGTCTGTGAAGGAAGGCAAAAACATAAAAGAGTTTTATTACTCTGTGAAGAACAGGAACTTTTCTTAATCTAATTTGAAAATTTCATCCACAACTTTTGGGAAAATGCCACACAGTGCAAAAATAACTGAAAAAATCAGCAGGGGAGACAGCAAAGCAGTCATAGGGTGGCTGCCTTTCTGTGGTATAAGAAATGAGCAGCACTTAGATGTGCAGAGTTTATAATTTCTTAGAGGCCTTCAAGAACCTGCTGTACAAACTAAATAATAATAAACAATGTAGCTCTTTGACATAAATAATCCTTTCTGTTTTTAATCTACTGGTTTAATTCCTGCGGTGGCATATGTTTGCAGTATTTATTTCAAGGTACTGTTATTGAGCTCTACTGTGCAAAGGAAATGGATTTATCTGCATGAAACTACAATGTTGGAGGGGCATTATGTGGCTGTATTTACAGTTTTCTTCTGTTTAGTGATTATACTGTATCTTTATTTTTTTCTCCTCCCTCAATTTATCTTTTGGCTGGCTCAGACCAGCAGGATATTTGGTGTGGGCTGTGAAACAGATTTAAGAAGCCAGAGGTACTTTTAATTCAGTCCTAACTTCTTCACTCCATAATCTGCCTGTGAAAATAATATCATATTTCTCTCTTTGATTATATCCTTGCAACAAAGCTATTAAAAAAAATCTGTACTTTAAACATTTCTAAAGAAATAAGAACATTTATTGGAAGAGTGGAGAAGGGTGGTACAAACCTACTGAAATTGCATCCTTAGTAAAGCTGAACACCATAGTCCTAAAGGGTGAGAAAGGAACCAAGATTTGGGTCTAGCTGAAGGCAACCCAGGAGGGGTGGGGTGTTATGGCAAACATTTTTCTTAGCCTATATTTCCTGCTGTGAGGAAAATGTGACTATTGAAGGCTTTTTCAAAGAGCAGGGCCTTCACCATACAGTTGCTCGTCTAAAACTGTGTAACAAGCAGCAAGAAACCCCTTAGTTCTGGCTCTAGGATGAGAGAATAAAGAGAAAAATCACAGTTCTATTTCTGTTCACTTGTCCTTCACGACATTAGAAACGGGGCGGTTGTTTTTTAGATTTCAGTAAGTCAATTATTTCTTTGCTTTTTATTTGGCTTGTATTATGGGTGGTGTCAAGGTAACCAACAACTACCAAAGATTGGTGCTGCTCCCATCAGTTTGCTCATCCTTAAAAAAGGGAACTGAACTGCTTTTGTGAGACCCAGCATCCTGAGCTGATCCTCCAGAAGATCCAGAGCAACCAGCTGCAAGGGCTGGCTCAGCAGGTGGTTCCTGGGACCTGAGAGGAAGATGAGTTTTCTGGTGCTTGGCAAAGAAAAAACAAATGTCCTTGGCCTGCAGCAGGATGTTGGGGAAGGGGTTTGAATTCAAGAGTGGTCTTAAATTTACCTTTAAGGCACCCCTTTGCCTTTCCTTATGGAGCTAAGGTGCTAGTTTATTTCTTTCCTCCAGTTAAGAGTGCCCTGCAGAATTTCTGTGGAAATCTACTGGCTTCAGCTTCCTGTTTGACTGCCATAAACAAGGAAATGCATATCCTCCTTGCCAGTTTTTCAGCAGAACCAACGTGCTTGTTCCTGAGCAGCTGGGTGAATTGGATTTTGGAAGGATGCTTTGTGTCTTTGAAGTCTTTTCTGGCTAAATACCATTAATCTTCAGAGTGATTCAGTTCTTAAGGTAATTTGTGGCTTTCTTCTTTTCTTTAAATCCGTTAAAGGCATGATATGGAAAAACTTCTTTGCTCCAAGATAATCCAGTACAATTAGAACAGTGTCACTCAACTTAGCAAAGTCCTTTATGCATGTTTTTTCCGGTCTTGTTAAAATTTAAATCCATGGTAGATAGGAAAAGGTGTGATTTATTGTTCATTTATCCTCTTTCCCCACACACTCTATTCCTGAAACTATTTAGCACTTTTTGGTTTTGTGACTGTGATATTGAGCACAGTTACTTGTATAAGGGGGTTTTGCTAGGGTGTCTAGTGTTGGTGTTCCCCATTCCTACAGTGAAGGAGACATATTGGAGTGAGATATTAATATGGTGTGGTGATGGACCATGAGACATCCTGGGAAGACTGAAGGACATGGGATGGTTTAGCCATGAGGTGGCCAAGGTGGGGAGCCAGGGATTTGTTTGCAGCCTTTCCATCTCCGAATGGGGGGCTGTAGGGAAAATGGGGTTTTCTCAGTTACACAGTTAAAGAATAAGAGGCAGTGGGCAGAAATAACTGCATTGGTAGTTCGTATGGTGTTAAGAGCAAATTCTTCACAAAAAAGGGTGCCCAAGCACAGGAACCAGGCCCAGGGCAGCTGTGGACTTTCTAACCCCCATAACTTTCAATTCTTCATGGGTGGAGGCTCTGAGAAACTTGGTGTAATTTTGAGCAGGGGATGGGCCTAGATGATCTGCAGATGTCTCTTTCAACCCATGTTTTTCTACGATTATCAAAATAATGATTTTTTTTTTCTTTTAAATAGGCTAGCTGCAGTGTTATTTTCAGGTAATGTGTTGTCTTTGCAGGTTTACCTGCTGGGAATCCTGCTCCTCCCACAGGAGAAGTTGAATGTGGCTTTTTGATCTCTGAACTTCAACTTGAGCTGTGTCTTTCCAGGCTCTGTGAAATAGGTTGCTCTTATTTCCAGTGCCTGGGATGATAAACTGGCTTTTCTCTGCTTCAGTACTTCTTCTTGTTGTGGAAAATTTTATTGCCCAGATACAGCTTCTGTCTTCCTTCTGCAAATACCTTAGTTTGGTGGAAGGCTGACTGAGATGTCATGGGACACTGTTCCCTTTTTCTTTCTGATCACTTCAAATTTTATTAATTTGAGTTAATACATTTAAAAGGCTTTATTGAATTAGAATGTGTGTTACTAAATGTGACATTCTCTCATGCCTTGTGTAACCATGCTGTTCAGTAAATTTTAATAGCTATTTTGCCATTTTTGTTTATAGAAGATATAAAAGTATTTAAGACAGCTCTGAGTTAGCAGCATATCTATTTTCTTAGTATTTGATGCGCTTTGGTTTCCTTATTCTTTGGACTTGTCTGTTATTCTTGAAAGGCTTCTTTAAGCATCAGACTCTCTTCTTCTATGCATGTAATGATAAAATCATCTTCTAGTTTTTTCAAGGATTTGACTGACTTTTTCACTACTCGATTCATGGATAGTTTTGTTTGTAGCCTGCCAGATCCATAATAATTCCTTGTTTGTGTAGCTTGCATTCTTTGTCAGAAGTTGCAATTTCTTACAAATTGCTGAATAACTGCATACAGTGTTCTGCTCACTTTGTTTGTGCTTTTTTCCTAAAAGCTTCCACCATTCCTTTTTTGCCATATCTACTCTCTGTTCCAAGTTCAGTTTTCTGACTTTGAAGTCTTTGGTATTCCAGTTATCCCATGTGAAGTCTCCCACAAGCCTGATCTTGCCTAGGGAATATGTTTCCAGGACTTAATGAGTTATCTTTCACCTCACAGTCTCCTAGGAGGAACTTTCCCTCTATCTTCATGACAGGGGGTGGTGATGGGGAAGGGCACCTGCCTAGATTGCTCACTTGCCAAAAGGATTTAATAGAAAGCTGTTATTTGCAGACATTTCTCCTGCTGTGTTTGAAGGACAGAGGATGGCAATTGAGCTTTTTCAGGAGCCTGGGAGGGCAGTTTAAAAGTGTGCAGTCACGCAAAATCCTCTCTGGGGACAGAAGGCAGGTCTATAGAAATGTCTTCATGGTCCAGTCTAATTCTCATTCTTAGTGGAATAAAAGTGTCAGACTTCATGTTCTGAAAACTCTAATTTTGGTTTGATGAAATATTGGGAAATGTTTAATAACCATTCTAAATGCCAAGCTAAATGTTCTTCCTAGGTGCTTTGAGCTTAGAAATATTTTTGTCATTTTGATTGTCCTAACTCGAAATCCATTTCAATGCTCCTGGGAGTTCAGGAATGGCTGTAAAATTCCAGATGCATGGTCCATCTCACAGTTTTTCCAGGAGTTCAGGGAAAAATACAAAGTTACGTGTAAACCAATAGTGAACTGCTGCTGGTTCAGTTCACATCATCAGATGGTATTACATCCTTAACACTTTTAAACGGTTACCATGTGTGCTTACATCACCTTTTCTGTTAATCTTGACCTAAACCCTCCAAGGTGAGGCTTTTCACAGCTCAACCATGAGTTTATTAAGGCTTTATTTGTAGATTATAATTGAAGTTTTCAAAAATATGTAATCATATTGTTACAGATGTGCACCTGAGGTAATGGAGATCTTTAGAGAGAACCTGTCAGTGAAGCAGAGAACTAAGGAGCAGGACATCAGTAATCCATCAAAGGACTGAGCATAAGCTGTTGAAGACTTGTATGGCTCTGTACAAGGAGACCAAGTGTCTGGGAAAATTCAGTGTAACGTCTCTAGATGACAGCCCATTATTTGAGCTGCATCTCTAGCACTGCCAACCACTGGAGTTTGTGAGCATGTTTTTGCTGTGGAAAAAATAACGAGCCAAATATACAATGTATTGTAGATGACAATTAATAAAACCATCATACTGATAACATACACTGGATGTAGCCCAGTTTGGGTTCTTTGGATTGAAAGAGTTGCGGTGCCCTGGGTACAATTTCTAGCTGTCCCTTTACCAATGATGTAACATGTTTACTATTTGCCAAATGTTAACGATATAAGCTCAATATTACAACTTGATCAGCTAAAGTTGACAGAATAAGATTCTTTGAAAGAGCTGGGATAAGAAATGTCTTTAAGAGAGGTAACAAAATCAGTGGGTGATCAGTTGTATTCTGTTAACAGATTTTTTTTTTAATTTAAAACTTATTGCTTTTTAATATTTTACAGCCACATTTTCTTAAGGGAAAATTATTATTTAAGCACCAGCTCTATTTACTCATAGAAGTGTATACTTACTCAAAGAAGTGTATACTTCTTTCCCCTCTTAATTTTTTTGGTAGAGGGAAGCATCTTTCAGCTGACGGAGAACTTTTCTAATATGACATTTTAGGAAAGAAGCTTAATTTTTTTTCTCGTATGCACAGTGGGGAATGCTGACATTTAAGCCAGTAGAACTGCTCTGATGCTAAAATCCTTTATATATATTAGGAATGAAGTTAAAGGAAACTTTTTCACTTGCTTGGATCAAACCAATTCCCTGGGTTTAGACCCCTTTTCTACTTTGCTTTACGTATCATAGTCCTACAATCCAGCTTTGCTATCTGAGAAATTTCTGGAGCTCTTGCAGATTTTGTTTCAAGAAACTTTTCTCCAGTCTGAGTGGGTGTTTCTTATAGACTTCCAATTATATTCACAAATAACTTGTCTGCATGTATATGCCCCCACTGGCTCTGTGCCTCAGCATACACCATAGTATTACAGATGAATTCATTAAAATGCTTAGGAATTCATTGCTGACATTTGTTCTGTTTAATTGAAATAATTTCTTCACCTATTAAAGTTAGCTTTTATGACACATCTAAACTTTGGAACATTCTCTTTTAAATTATTTATAAAGCCTACAAGTTATTTCTTAATTTCCTGTTTAGTTGTCCCAGATTGTGTTTTTATGAGAGTTTGTAGCTGTATAAGAGCATGCCCTTCATCTTAAAAATGCTGCCTAATGTCTAGATTCCTAGGAAATGCATCTTCTGTGGGCCATAGGATGAATGTACAACAAAACAGCTCTGTTAAAATGCAGAGAACATAGTGATGTTTTTTTTGCAACAGAGGTAACTTTAATGAGTTTGTGTCTCTTTGTGGAGTAACCTGTCTACTGCTGCAAGTAGCCCGGCATCTGGAGCTGCCTAAATGAGGATTTCTTTGTAACTCAGCTACATTGCAATGACAGAAAATGCAGGACATCTTCTGTCTTCACTTCAGCTTGTTCCAATTTACTGAAAACATGGAGGTTTTTGTGGCTGAACCTAAGCTTGGCTGCGTGAACTTACTGATATATAGGCCTGCTTTACCTTGAAACATCCATTCTGTCAGTCTGTAATTGAGCTAGAACAGAGAAAGAAAGGAGGGTAAGGGTTTATTGACAGAACAGCATGTTCTGTGTTCACAGGCTTCAGCTCAGGCTTGTATTATCAAGTGAAACATTGCTTCCCCAGCATATATCTGCTCTCTGGCTGTCTTAATCATTTTGCATTCTAACCTCTAACAGTGCCTCCGTTGTGCCAGTAGCAGCAGGGTCACTCTGTAAATGAGTCTGAAGAAACATATCTTATTTTGTTGCGTTTGAAGGGGAAGCATAAAAGACACTACTGCAGCATTAATAGGTTTTGCCTGAGTGCAGAAAAGCCCAAAGAGTTGTGTTTTTACATATGTGAGTATTTCCCTAGATTGCTACCTCTGTAAAGATATGAGGAAGAACAACCTGGTTGAGCTCGTCTCCCTGTGGGAGTCCTCTGCTCCTGAGACAGGCAAGGGCTCAGTTTTCTCACGTGGAGAGGCTTTTTTTCCTCCCTGACTTTTTAAACTTTATTTGTCCATCCAGCCACTTGAGAGGGCAGAGATAGCGTTGATGTGATCTGCAAGGCTGAGTCCTCAGATCTCCAGACCTCTCTTTTTGCTCACCTTGAGGCGTGCACCTCTCTGGACCCCTGGATTGAGGCTTGTGTTTTCACTTGCAGTGCTGAAGTTCTCTCAGTTTTTGGAACTTTGTTCTTTCTAAACAGGAGCACTAATTTTTTTGGTAGTGTTATAATTGATGATCAGTGTTGGCACTAATACCTTTGCTGTGGGGCTGCATGGGGAACTTCAGCAATACCACAGGGTTGTTAAATGCAATGAAAAGCAGCAGTGTCTTCTAAAACAAAAAATAACTTGCAGGAGTTCCTGTGGAGATGTCTGCTTTCTTGTAAGTGCTGAGAATTAGTGTTCATAAAAATATCTTAGTACTAATAGTCCTGTAGGTTCTTTTGAAATATAATGTTTAATTTTTTCCCATATTCCCTGAAAAGTTTTTAATGTTGCCTCCTACACTTCTTTCAATGAACAAAGTCTCAGATTTATTAATGCATAATGTGTCCCAGAAATCAGTTTAACTGATTCTCATCCATCAGTCAGCATCACTTCTTTTTCCTATTATTTGGCAGAACAGGTTTCTTTGAAGCTGCTTTTTGCAGACTCTGGATGATATTTCTGCCTAACTTTTCTGAAGAAGAGAGAGAGCCTATCAGCTTAATTTTCTAAGGCAGGAGGGTGCATTAGTAAGACAAAACTACTTTTCATATGAACACTGAGTTCTGTTCCTCAGAAGTGGCCTTTCACTCACTTTTTAACTCTTAGCTATGAATTAAGATCAAAACAGGACTACTACCACTAGTTAAAGCAATATTTAAGACCAGAAAAAGCAATATTACGCACCCGTTAAAGCAATATTTAAGACCAGATCTCACATTTCTTATGTAGAAATGTGAGATCTGTAACCATAGAGTATGATTTCCAAATAAATCTCAACTGGAAATGTTATGCCTCAGAGGCAGACAGCACACAAGCCTGGTGTAAAGACTAGATTTATCTTGATGCATTGTCAAGCAATCGTCTTCTGTCCTGCTATTTCATGTCTGCCCTTCCCCTAACAGTACTTCTAGCACCTATCCTGAGGCACTGATCTCTGATGAATACAGAATAAATTGATTTGCATTTCTGCTCTGTGTCATTATTGAAGCCTGTGTAGAGGAAAGCAAAGTTAGTATTATGCCACTCCTGCTATAAAGTACTTATGGTACCAAAGCAATCTAGTGGTCTCTGGCCAGAAAACAGTCAACCATGTGGACACAAAGACAAACCTTTGTTTTGAGCACCTTAGCTGGCATCTGGCAATGATTTAGAGCCTCCCCCAACTAAACATATTGAAGCCTGTATCTGGAGCTGGAAGAGCTCAGCTGCCACGTGAAAGTCTTGTATGGAGCAGATCAGGAGACAAGCACTGAAAAAAATTGATCAGCAGTAGCTTATACCCAGTCTAGGAATACTGAAAGCAGAAGCCTGGAATCTACATTCAAGTAAACATGCAGTTTCATGTGCTTAGCTGCATGCTGTGGGCATGAAGAAGTCTAGGAGTAGTACCCCTAAAGTGTCTCCATTTGCATTTGCTGATAAAAAAGTGGTATTACCAGACCTCCCTCTCTATGCACAGGGACAATTGAGGTTCACGTTTTGAACCAAGCAGCTTTCTGCCTTTCAGCAAGTTTGCAAAGCCTTAGATTAGTTACATCCTTGTTTCTCCTGGGGGTGAAAACTCTGTGCAAGCCCACAAGCAAGGCTCTATTTTCCTGTTTCACAGTAAAATGATGCCTACAGCTTTATGCCTTTTCCCAGAGCATGCGGGGTAGGTATGGAACCTACTAAGAACAACAGCACTTAAAGTTAGCTAAGAAGCAGATTGTGTGTTGAGAAGCAGCTCACAGCCACCCCACATAACTGAATGCTGGAGCACTACCTGCTGTCCTCTGTGCAGAGTTACACAGGACAGCTGGGGTGCTGGTGACTGTAGGCAATTTAGGAGCACAAAAGTGTGTGCATCAGCATCTCTTAAATACAAAAAGAAGTAGAAGCCTTGAGTCTGAAAGTGTTTTACAGGCAGGCAGCACCCAGTTTCTTTAATCAAGGCTATGAAGAAGTGCTAAAGATGACCTGTAAGGATCTGCTGCTTTACCAGGTGCAAAAAGAGGATCCAAGCTGGTGTGGGTAATGGCAAAATAGTGATTTAGAGACCTGAGAGAAAAGAGCTCACTGATACTTGCTACTGAGGAAGAGGAAGGCACAGCTTTTGCATGAGCAGAGACCTCCTGACTCCCTGAGGGCAGCTCTTAGTTCATTTAACTATTCAATAGGAATTCATATTAATTGAATGCAGCCATTTTCTTCCCATGGAACAGAAGATGACAGAATATTACAGCACATTTCAGCCATTTCCTGTTTTGTGTTTTTAATGAGATTGTGACTTAAATGGAGCAGGTGAGCCTTGTGACCATTCCCAGAGGATGCAGGTCAGATATGGCATGTACAAAGAATAACCCTTCCCTTTTCATAAGATGCATAGCTTCTGTTCAGAGGTGGATTCTGACCTTTGTGAGGCCCTGAGGAAGATCTGTTGAAAACTCTGGCGCAGCAGGTAGATAAAAAGTGGAAGATTTAATTAATATTTAACATCAAGAAGCCTTGGTCAACTAATGAAATGAAATCTGTGTTGAAGAACAAACAAGAATGGAGATTTGATTACTTCAGGTTTTCCTCTGAAAAAGAGAACTATGACATTTGAAAGTCATGTAATGCTCTCTTTTTATAAAGAAAGACATTTCTGACTGCTGTTCTGAACAGAGATGTAAATACTTGGTTTGTTTTCTAGGCTGTGCCTATGCTGGATAATTTCATTTTTGTAGGACCCCAGTAGTTGCTAGCACTGAGATTTCTGGGTCTTTTATGCCTGAGGAAGAGTGTCAGTCTTGGCTGTGTGCTTTCATGCTGTGTGGCTGTCAGCATTTGGGCCTGTGACCTTCTTCTGACTGATGCATCCTGTGCTCTGGAAGACACACACAAGCACGCCCACCACTGCATAGAGTTCACAGAGAGGACACATAAAATCACATAAGCTTTGTTATTGCAATCTGTGGTCTTTGCCCTTTGCTTATTTGTTTGCTTTTGTACAAAAGAGTTCTCTGTTCATCTTTGTCTAGTTTACAATTGACAAAATC